TTCAAGAAGTGTCATTTCTGGGGCATATTATTTCTGCGCGAGGTGTTCAGGTTGATCCCAGCAGATAGAGGCTATTATGAATTGGAAACGACCTAAGAACGTATCTGAATCCGCAGTTTCTTGGGCTTGGCTGGTTATTATCGACGTTTTGTTGAGGCTTCTCGTCATTGCTTCTCATTTGACAAAGTTGTTAAGGAAGAATGTGTTGTTTGACTGGGGCAGGCACAACAGGAGAGCTTTGAGAAATTAAAGGCGTTTTGACTCAAGCACCGGTGTTGATTCAACCGGAGTCCGGGAAGGATTTTACAGTGTATAGTGATGCTTCACATTCAGGACTTGGTTGTGTTTTAATGCAGGAAAGTAAGGTGGTGGCTTATGCATCCCGTCAGCTGCGGCCGCATGAGAGTAATTATCCTACTCACGATTTAGAGTTGGCAGCAGTAATTTTTTGCCTTGAAGATTTGGAGACACTATCTTTATGGAGAGAAGTGTTACATTTTCACAGATCATAAGAGCTTAAAGTATCTTCTGACCCAGAAGGAACTTAATTTGAGACAGCGTCGCTGGTTAGAGCTTCTAAAGATTATGATTGCGTGATTGATTACACCCTGGTAAAGCTAACATTGTAGCAGATGCTTTGAGTCGAAAGACGGTATCGAGTTGAGGTCTTTAATGGCCAAGATATTTATGACGATGTCACTTTGTTAGCAGAATTGCAGTTAAGCCGACCTTGGTTGATGAGATCAAAGCTAAGCAGCCCCTTGATAGCTCATTGCTTTCCATCTTTGAGCAAGTAGAGCAGGGACAAACACAGATTACGCAATTGATCAGGATGAGTTTTATGCTTTAAAGGTAGATATTGTGTGCCTGACGCTGAATTGAGGCAGACTATCCTTACTGAGGCTCATAGTAGTCCATATGCTATGCACCCCGGAGGAGAAGATGTATCGGAATTTGAGAGAGAGGTTGGACTGGTATGAAGAAAGACATATATGACTTTGTGGCTAGGTGTTTGACTGTCAGCAATTAAGGCAGAACATCAACATCCATCAGGTTTATTACAGCCTATCAAGATTCCTGAATGGAAATGGGAGCGTATTACTATGGATTTTGTTACTGGCTTGCCTATGACTCCTTGAAAAAAGATTCAGTTGGGTGATTGTTGACAGACTTACAAAGTCAGCTCACTTCATTCCTGTGCGAGTAAATTATACTTTGGATAAGCTGGCAAGATTGTATATTTCAGAGATTGTCAGATTGCATGGTGTTCCATTGTCTATTATTTCTGATCGAGATCCGAGATTACTTCGAGATTTTGGAAGGCGTTACATACGGCTTTGGGAACAAGATTGGATTATAGTACTCCTTTCATCCACAACTGATGGTCAATCTGAGAGTATTCAGATTCTGGAGGATATGTTGCGGGTTGCGTAATCGATTTTCATGGTAGTTGGGAGAACTTTTTGCCGTTGGCTGAATTTGCTTACATAACAGTTATCAGACCAGTATTCGTATGGCACCCTATGAAGCACCTATGGGCGAAAATGTCGCACTCCGATCTGTTGGACTGAGTTGCGTGATAGGAAAACGTTGGGACCTGAGTTAGTCCGAGAGACGGAGGACACAGTAATCCGTGACCGTCTGAAAGAGGCATTTGATAGGCAGAAATCTTATGCAGATCAAAGAAGGAAGGATATACAGTTTGAAGTGGGAGATCGGTCTTTTTGAAAGTTTCACCCTGGAAGAAAGTATTAAGATTCGGGCGTAAGGGTAAATTAAGTCCAAGATTTATTGGACCATTTCGTATCTTGAAGAGGGTAGGACCTATTGCATATCAGCTTGAGTTGCCTTCTGAGCTAAGTCGTATTCATGATGTCTTTCATGTATCAATGTTGAGGAGATACCGTCCAGATCCAGGTCACATTATTCAGGTTGAAGAAGTAGAGCTGAGACCTGATTTGTCATATGAAGAGGAGCCCATTCAGATCTTGGAGAGAGATGACGAGTTCTTCGGAATAGGCGAATTCCAATGGTCAAAGTTCATGGAGTAATCGAGGCCCTCAGAAGCTACTTGGGAGACATTGGAGTCAATGGAGGCTCAGTTTCCTCAACTATTCTCATAAGGTAAATTTCGAGGACAAATTCTTGTAGAGGGGAGAATTGTAACAACCCGGAATAAAATTTAGAGAAAAAAAAATTTTAATTAAGTAATTTGGCAAAATTTGAGGATTAAATCGAAAGTTTTCAAAATTGTAGGCCATTTTAGAAGTTAAAGGAAATTCAGGGACCAAGCCCTGCATTACTCCTTTTAGTGTCGGCAGAAAATTTCATATAAACGTATGAATGGTTTTCTGTTTTCAAAACAGAAAACAATTGTGAAATTCTTCCTCACGCACACAACTTCCAAACTCGATTCCGACGCCGTCCGAATTCCGATCGTTGTTTTGAAACCACCGTTGTGTTCATCATCGAGCGAGGAGCAAAACCTTCAAATTAATTGAAGCGAAACGCGGCCAAACGTCGGGAATTTCCAGTCAAAGTAGCGACGGTTTTGTTAGCTCTATCGCCGAGAAAATCTTAAATTCACCGCTGATCGTTGCTCTGTTTACGACACCTCCCGCACCATCGTGTTCCTTGTGCCGTTCCGAGTTCACCGGTGTCAATCTTGTCCGCCGTAGACGGCGGCGCGTGAGGAGGTGGTGCAGTCAAAGATTCGGCCGATTTGAAATCGAGCTCTCCGCCGTTCAAAAATTTGAACCGATCGTTGTAAGTATCTCAAAATCGCTCAAAATAATTTTTAGAAATTTTTTCGGGATTTTTAGGGCCCCGGAGGACGCCTCACGCGCCACACGCGCCGCCGCAGGGCGAGTGGCTGCTGGAAACCGGTTTAACCGGTTTTCAACCGGTTCTGACCGGTTTGACCGGTTTCAACCGGTTCGAACCGGTTTGACCGGTCTGACTCGGTTTGACCGGTCTGACCCGACCCGACCGTTGACCCGACCCGACCCGACCGTTGACCGACCCGACCCGACCGTTGACCGTTGACTGTTGACCGTTGACCGTTGACCGTTGACTTTCTTTGACCAAAACTTAAAATGGCTTTGACCGAGCATTAAACGACCGTTAATCTTTTCCGAGTATACCTATCCTGATAGTTTTCGACGTGCCGAATTCGTTTCCGTGGTCTGTTTTGTGAAATTCGAATCCGAAGGTCTCCAAATCTACGGTCAAAGTGGTTGACTTTGACTTTGACCAAGAATCTGAATTTTCAAAAAGTCATACTTTATATTTTTCGACGTCCTGATTCCGATTCCGCAATCCGTTTGGCCAAATTCAGACTCGAAATACCCCAAAATGATAGTCAAACCCGAAAAATGCTTATATACTTAAGAATTCTAGCTTTGAACAATTAAGTAAGATTTGGGGCTGATTAATTATTATTGTTTGAAGGTACAAGAGACTCTCCGGATCGTTCGATAGCTCGACCTAACTCTTCTAGATCAGTTAAACCACGTATACCAGTATTCACTCGTAAGACTCGTAAATTTTATGATTTTAGAGATTTATTTATGTTACCCATTAGTAATATAGTGATATTATAAATTAGGTTCGAAAACTGTAGCAGAGCGTGGTGAAACCAGCAATCAGTAGATCCACGATTTAAACCTATTATCGAGGTGTGTTCCCTATTTATTACTGAACTGTTTTATTTGTTTTAATATGTGGTACACTGAATTCTTTGGTTTCCGTATTGTTGATGCACCAATTTAATGTGATGATTTATGGATTATGACTGTTATCTGATATTTGTTTTGAAATGGTATATGATTACCATGTTTATGGATTTATGGAATTTATAACACGGTGCAATTGAATTTTTGGAATACGAATTTATAAAGTACAGCTCTGATCAAGCTGGAAAATTTTACAGACCTAATGTGACTCTTAGGTAGGCTCTGCGGCCCTGAGATCATTCTCGGGTAGGCCCTGCGGCCCTAAGATGTGTTCTTAGGTAGGCCCCACGGTCCCGAAATCTATCTTGGGTAGGCTCTCAGGCCCTAAGATGTTCCCTTAGGGTAACGCTTTGTAAAGAGATTTACTGCAGTATAATTTTATGAGACTTAATGGAATATGATTTGTTTAGTGTACCTATTGAATTTTTATGGTAATGTTGGGACACACTGAGACTAGCTCACTTTTCGAAAATGTTTTCCCCCTTTCAGATACTGTTGGTTAGTTACCCTGGATTGAGCACTTGGAGGATCAACATATCTCTTGAAGTATATTTGATTGTAATGTTTTTACCTTGCAAGTTGTCTTTATTTTGTTAACATGGACCTTATTTTAAAGTATGGGATTTTAATATGATGACATTTTTACTATTACTATTCGGTTTATCGTGATTTGATTTTTAAGATATGTTTTAAATTAAATTATTACTTATTGGTATTATATTTACAAGTTAGGTTTTGATAGTATGATTTATTATAACTTCATGTCATTTATAATGTGATTTTACATTGATTGAATAACGGTTTCGGAAAAATGTCTTAAAGAATCATAATGTGAGCCACTAGACTTAGTCGAAACGCATAGGCTGGGTCTAGGGGGTTACAAAATTGTTTAAATTAAAACCAATATGTATCATAATATTATTTAAAAATTTACAATTAAATTTAAATAACTTGAAATACTCGACTCAATTTTCATAAACGCGATTCGATCGGAAAAAAAAAATCAAATAAAGTTTAAATCATAAAATTTTCAAAGATTGTTGGATTTAGTAACTAGCTAAGTATAACTATTTGTAACTAGCAGTTGGACAAGAATAGAAATGCCATCAATCAAAAATGCTTCTGCACCTATAGCAGTAGAGAACTATAATCCCACATAGAAATGCAATCAAATCCAACTTAATTTGATCATAAAATATTGACAACCGCCCAATGACTGTAAATATCCAGAATACATGAATGAATCAATGAACAATGAGTCAGAGCTGAACTAAACAAACATGTGGTGAAATACATACATGTTATGTACTGGGAAAAAATAATATGAATTCCGTTGAAAGAAGGTAAATAGGGAGTAAAGCAACAGTTAAAGATCTTTCCACACATTAAAATCAGTATTCGAGCTATTAGTGTTCACCATACCATCTTGGCAACCCAAAAAGAATGTGCTGCGCAAAGCATCGACGTTTACAAGAGCATGGGCAGTTCCACTGGGGCTAGCTGCAACAACAACTTCGTCTTCCTCGATTGTCACTTCGGCATAACCTCTATCAACCATCTTATTTTCCGACTGCAATAGGTACAAGACAAAAATACACATCTGAATACATTACAACTATATAAGACATCTTTCTTTTTTCTTTTTTCTTTTTGAAGATGCATAAGGCATCTTTCAAATACTTGAATATGTGCAACTGCAAGAGAAAATAGAAAAAGATTCGGGTGAATTAAGAAATTGGTGATACTATGTAAAAAACAAAGTCTAGTAATAATAATGACAGCTAAAAGACCCGGAAGTCTATGCTACAACATAACATCAAAGACAGCAAAAAAGACAATTCTAGTATGAGCCTGAAGTGTGACACCAAAGAATTGAGAGCAAGAAAAGAAATAGAAAAACAAAAAAACACTGTCAAGGATTTCATATAATGATGTTGGATGAGAGATCTAGGGCAAAAGTTGAATGGTGAAGACAACAAATTCGCGGATAAAAGAAATTTCATAAACGCAACTTCACCAATAAAGAGAAACATAAGAAAAAATCTCATATATTGATAATGGAGAAACAAGCAAATGGAAAGTAGAAAGAAGCTTTTGTTACACTGAAATGTCAGAAAACAACAAAAGGGGTTACATTGGCATTGCAGCATTGGTAGTCATTGTCTAACTTGATGACTTGCAGTTGGATGAAACTAAAGCAATTAGATCCAAAGAAAACCTCTCCACAAATTAAACATAAAACGACTCTAAGAAAAAGGAATTTAAACAAATATACTGTGAAGCAGAGGCGGTATATATAAAAACACGAAATAGATAGAAGAGACGGGAGAAAAAAAGATAACAGGACGTAAAATGCTACATCAAAAACAGAAGATTCTAGTTAACACAGCAATTGATTCTTCAATTAGCGTCTTTTGCCTTTCCGATACATGAAGAAGAATCATAATACCATTTCATGAGAAAAGAGCATACCCTGAATTTTGTCCTTGCCCCCCAAATGACAAATGTTTCGTTACAAGCATAGTGTCGGTGATTTCCCCTCATACCACCATGTCCAATTTCACCAACGTGTACTTGTGAGCAAGACACTGCCCCCCCTGCAAGAAAATATGCTACGAAAAGATTAAATAAAAATGAAAGAGAGAATTATGAAACAATGAGGAAATAAAGAAGCTTAAAGCTCGTCTAGACATTACTCACATTAGTAATACAAAAGCAAAACCTTTTCTTTTACTAAATGGACATTGCTTTTTGCTCACACACAAACAAACGATTTCACACAGTTAAACCAAATATCACATTTTCTAGGAGTTAAAAAACAGGGTATGGTTAAACCATAACACATAAAAAGAATCCCTGCAGTCATTTCCAACAAATTTGTGTTTATGATTTGATTTTCAGTTGAACAATTGGGCAAACAAAGCCACCTAAAATTTTCATTTGATATACAGTCTAGATAAACTGATAGGTCAAGACATTGCTAAAAAAACATAGGATAGTCAATAGTTGATAAGTAAATAGACCTTTGACGCCAGACTGAAGCGCAAGGGGGAGACGGGATCGAGCAGCCAGCCGCGTTTGTCCTTGACAATAGGTGAGGGTAACCCAGATTTGAATCGGACAAGATTGGCCTTAGAATCCTCATCGCCAGGACCATCTAGGCCCAATTGGTCGCGCCGAACACCAGAAGAAGAAGAATACTGCAATCTGAGAGAGACCCATGTCAGGAAGAGCAGAAACAATAGAAGAAATGGGATTGCATGGGGCTTTTTCAACAAGTGTTTCAAAGATGAGAGTGAAGACGAGCTTTGGGTCTGAAACTGGAATGAATTGATGTCCGAGCTTTGGCTGGTTGAGTACGAATTTCGCCTAGGGTTTGCCATTCTTTACTTCCCTTTCTTTATACGCTCCGCACTGTCTCTGGTTCGAAATTTCAAATATATGATTTAGTTTAAAATTCAAATATGAAATGTGTTTTTTAATCCTAAAGCGTAATAAATTTGATAATTATTATTAGTTTTTGGGCTCATATCACTAATAAATTTGATAGTTATTATTATTAATTTTGGCGCTAATAAATTCGATAGATGTTATTATTAATTTTAGCTCATGTCGTAACGAAATTTAATTATAACATGAGCGCATGTTTAACATTTAATTTATTTTTTTTACATTGTTAGTTATCGTATTGTCACGTAAATTAACATTAGGGTATTAATAAAAAAACATTAAGGTCAATTATACGGGTGGTTTTTTTAATGATTTCGGTCTATTTAATAAAAAATATTTTTTGATTCTTACGTTATCGTTATCAGTAGGTTTGACTTTAGTTCCTCGATCGTTAATTCCTGTCATTTTATTAACAGAAGTTGGAAATAAAAAACTATCGGTGGGTTTGGCTTTAATTCCTGTCGCTAAAAAAATTATTGTTAGTTCCTTGATCGTTAATTCCTGTCGAAGTTGGCAATAAAAATAAAACAACAGCCATGTGTTTACTTCTTTTAATAATGGGTGCATGATGGGGAATTTCAAGCCGGCCGAGATGTGTAATACCCAAAAAGTTTGACAAGTATTTAAAATATAAATTTTGAAAGTTTAGTGGCCAAAGTAGAAACTTAGAAAAGTTAATGGACCAAAGAAGTAATTTTCCTAAAAAGAAATTTTATTCTACAAATAAATAGTTTATATTTAAGAGTAGATTCTTTATGGAATTCAAATTTCAATTTGGAATTGATGCAAAGAGCTATTAAGCGATAAAGTTTAGTAAAGTATTCGAATAATCGGATCGAATCAGAAATTTACAAAAAATTGAAGGATGGTAGCCTGGGGTTAGAAATATTATATTTATATTTTTAATCAATAGAAATCAACATGTAATAGTAGAATTAAGTGATTTTTTCATGTTAAAGTTGAATAGTAAAAAGTAAGTGACTAAATTAAATTTTTGGAAAAGTGCAAAGGCAAGATGGAAATCAATAAATATGATTTTTATATTGACATGATGATGTACATATGGTGATGAAAGCATGGCAAAATGGTAGATATTTTGATTCATTAAGGGTAGAAATGATTTTTGGACTAAAATGAATTTTAAATTTATTTTTAATAGAATTTATACAGGTGTACATGAGATATTTCTCATGAAAAATCTAGAAAAGATGTCTTTTTCCCTTTTTTTCTCTATATATTGCCGTGAGTTCACCCATTAAAAGGAGACAAGGTATTTTTTCTTTATTTTTCTTCATTTTAGTCTTTTTTCCCCTTTGATTCTTGGATTAAGTTATGAAATAGAAAAATGATCCATATTAAAGTCTCTATCATTTGATGATAATATTTCATTACTTCCATGCTTGAATTATTGGATTGTTGTTGATATGAAAATGATGTATTGGTGATGAATTTATTATTTGAACCAATTCAAAAAATTGTGAAAGTATAGGGACTTAATTGTATAAATTAAGGAATATGGAGATTAGTGTGAAATTTTCTAGTAACTGATGTATTAAATTGAAATTGAATGTTGGAGTGCTAAAATTGATATTTGGATCATGATTTGGGTCAAATTGAAAACTTGAGAAATTATAAGGACCTATTCAAAATTTATGGAAAATTTGGGGATTAAAGAGCAATTATTTAATAGATGATGTATTATGCTGGAACTAAAGAAGTTGGAATGTTGAATTTGATGTTAGAATGAGAAATTAGAATAATTTGGGAATTAAATCGTAAATTATGAAAAATATGGGGACTTTAGTGAAAATTTTGTAATTATTGAGGTGTTATATTTAATGCTGGAATTTTTAGTTGTGTTAATTGAACATGTTGGATTGTTCGAATTTGTTTTTTGATATTTGCATTTGGGATTAAATTGCTAAAGGACTATATTGAATAAACTATAGAATGGAAGAAAGTAGACGATTTAACTGATAATTGGGTAGTTATAAAATCTTTAATTACTATATTAGAATTGAATATTAAAATAACGATTTCATGTTAGAATGTTGATTTTGGGCTAGTTTGTAAATTTGTTAAAGTTTGGGAACCAAAATGTAAATTGCACAAATGGTGAATTTAAAAGTTATTGAATAAATATGAGCAGTAACGTGTTTGGACAATAAATAATAGAATGGTGATTTTGAGGTTAAATATTAAATTGGAATTGAATTAGAAATATGTATAAAATCAGTAACTAAATTGTAAATATAGGGAAACTTATGGGTTAAAATTGAAATTGTATATAAAAATAATATGTGAAGTATAAGTTAATTATAATAATAATTGATTATTAGAAGGGCTTGGGAGAATAAATTGTAATTTTGTAAAAGTTGTTAAGAACCTTTTATATTTCATGAGAATTTGAGGATTAATATGTAAAAGTTAGAAAGTTAGTGTGCTATGCTGAAATTTTATAATTAAATGATGAAATATTAAAATTGGATTAATATGAGAAGTTGACAAAGTTCGAAGTTAAATTCATGAGTTTTGGGAATGATGGTGATAAAATGGTAATTATTTAAAGTTAATGTATTAGATTGGAATTAATGTGAAAGTGATTAAATATGACGAATGCTATGGATTTAATTTGAATATTAAATAATTATTTTGGACATTTTTGAAATGTTAGGTTATATATATATTTTTTAAAAGTTTATTCGTAGTTAAATGTGAAACGTTGAAAAGATAAGTAAATTGTTGTGAGAACTAATTATTTAAGGGACTTGGATGGTTAAATTAATAAAACTTAAATTTGTTATAAATTTGGTGAAAGAAATCAATATTGAATATACCTTAATGATATTGTAAATATATTTATATGAATATTAACTTATTATGATAGTTAAATATACTAACATATGAATGAAACAATATATGAATGTGATAATTTTTCTATAAATATTATTATATATAAAAAAATATAAGATTTAAATAAAGCCCAGTGTATAATATTTTAGTGTCATGGGTACATGAGGTGAAGTGATTATGTATATGTTTTTGTTCTTTCGTGTACATTTGTCATGCACTATATGTGCATTCTGGCACTTTATGTGCAATATGTCACTATGTGTGCATTATTCGACACTATGCATTATGGGTTAACGATGTTTTAACGTTGTGAGATGTCATATCTGATTCTGATTTAGTATAGTGATGTTGTGTTATATAGTACATGTACTTATGTTTAGCACTAAAAGTGTTATCTCTTACCGTCTGTGTTTATATTGCATACAAGGCACAAAATGTGGCATACCATTACTGGGAGTGTTATACCATTACTGGCATTGTTATGTTGCATATAGGGCACCTATGGTATATACAAGACACTAAATGTGTTATACTAATCTGACAATTATATTACATACCATGCAGAACACTCGTTTTTTGATTCGTGTACCATGTATTCTCATGATATAGTATAGTAAAAGATACAATACAATGAAAAAAACAATACAGGAAAAGAGATAGTATATAAAAAGGGAGCAATACAATAAGAAAACACAACACAAGTTTAATTATTGTATTATAGTAAAGCTTTGTATGTAAAGTTTAATTTATACAAAATAATTTATAGATGAAAAGTTAAATTTTAAGTTACTCCTATATGAAATGATCTGATTAAATCTTATTGAATTGATTAAATGGTTTTATACCATATTTTGTACAAAAATGTATATATTAAATAATATTGTTATGAGATTTGAAAAGTATAAATTACATGGATTAAATCTGAAAATGTATATTTGTGTGAATAGATTAAGGGCAAACTATATGTACTTAACTTAAGAAAATTTATGTGCCTAATGTGGAACTATAATAATAGTCATTGTCAGTGGGTGGTTGTGTGTCGGTAGATAATAACTATAAAGTAGATATTTTAATAAATTTAATTGTAGATATTATAAATATTATATATATATATATGGTGATATAAAAGTATATGATAAGAGTTGTGTTTCAAATCGTAGAGTAATATAATAAGAGAAACCGTAGTAAAGAAAAGTGAAAATATGATAATTAACTAAGTATATATAAATATGAATCGTAATAAATTATATTATAAGGATTAATCGAAATTATTTTTGGCACTGTTAAATTATGATATGGAACAATATAGACCTGTCTAATCGTCACAACAAATCAAATGCGAATTGGAAATTAAATATTTCATTATGATTTTTTGTGTTTAAATAATTTAATAATAATTGGTAAATTTGGAAGTTTTGAAAGAAACAAAAATTTTCGTTGGCTTGAAGTATGAAATGTAGTATGAAATCAATGTGACATCCTTAACTTGTATTCGGATTTGAATGCAGGTTAAGGGTGTTACATGGTGAACAAGACTCGGAAGTTGGCGGTCGATTTCAAAGAAGCGACTAAGTTTACTAAACAGCGGAATCTGAACCTATGCAATTCTGACAGAGCATGGTGTAAATGATCGCCTGTTGGAGGGGTTAAGATTAATGTTGACGGTGCTCTCATTGAAAGCACGAACGAGGCAGTCTTGGGGATAGTCGTTCATGATTACCATGGAATGGTGCTTGGTGGCCACGCTCGCAAACTCGAAGCTCCTTAATCGCCTGAATCGATAGAAGCGTTAGCCTTTATTCACGGTATTAGATTTGCAATTGAGAAAAGGTGGGATCAAGCCACAATTGAAGGTGATGCAATTGGAATTGTTAATCGTTTAAACAAACGTCAAGAAGATATTTCAGTGGTTGGATTGCTACTTAACGGGGCTCATGAAGAATTGACTTCCCACCCGAAAATCAAAGTATTTTACACACCAATAGGGTGGCTCATTCTTTAGCATTGGGCCTTTTTTAAGACCAATCTCTTTTGTTTTATTTTGACGAACCTAATTATATTAAAAACAATGTATTCCTCGATGTTATTGACGCTTAAATGAATTTCAAGCTTTTCTAAAAAAAT